CTGCATCTCCCTTGACCTCGTTGTCGAGGTCGTTCATCGGGGTAGCCTCCTCCTCGTGGATGCTTTCAACGTGTCCTTTGGAGGTACCTGCCATGAAGCATTCACGAGAGGGGTGATGGCTTCCAATGCTGGAGTCAGAGCCAGAGGGCGACTTCGACTCCTCTACGAGGAGGTCGTGGATAGACTCCGCGATGTATTCGGTCACCCCCATGAACTCATCGTTCGTGGGGGTTAAAGGCGCGCGTTGCACCACAGGGTGGCCAACGGTCTCTGCGGCGTTGCAGAGATCGGACGGGAGCGCTGTCGGGGTGCTCCAGATGAGGTATGCCGAAGAGAGCGGCTTCCCTCCGGTAAGCTATGCCATGATGTTGGCGAATGAGAAGGTGAGGTGGCACAGGTCTTCTCGGGATGGTCGAGGTCCCAGGAAGGCGCCGAGCTGGCGCCCCAACCTCACGTAGTCGAAGTCGAGGAGCTAGTTGCTCCCAGGGGCGTGGGCCTCTGGTGCGTGCAGCTGCAGCTCCTCAAGCACCTCGGCTATTGTATCAAGGCTGGCGGAGGGAAGAGGTCGGACAGCGGCCAGAGCCATCGCCAACTCTCCCTCCATCGTAACGATGAAGTCTAGGTCCCCAAAGAGCACGTGCGCGCCCGGGACCCAGCTGAGGTTGCGATTAGCCATTCGAGGCCTGGTGTGGATGTCGAGACGTGCAAAAGGCCCCTACCTGGCGCGCCAATTGTCGGTGTTTCGAGTAAACACCAACAAGTAAATTTCTAATATTACGCGTCTGGCTCGGGTGGTGTGCTAAGAGGACATGAGGTTTATACTGGTTCGGGCAGAATGTCTCTACGTCCAGTTCGTTGTTGCTGCTCATGTTACTAGCACTGAAAGTTCATAGTAGGGGTTACAAACGGTCGAGAGAGAGACAGGTCCCAAGTCTCTGGTAGAAAGAATGAATGAGTGCCAAGAGCTTGGTCGCTGCTCGGCTATATGTTCGAGGTTCAATGCTAGTGCTTTTGATCTGATGTGGTACGATGCATTCTCGTGTCCCTTAATGGGACGCCCTGATTTCCCTATTATAGGTCAAGGGAAAGCACGGGTTACAACGGGAGAAAAGAGGAGAACGAGAGGGAGAGTAAGTCCTTTAGGGTCGCCAGGCCTTTCTTTTCCTTTGTGCGGGCTTCGCTGACATGGCAGGTGGTGATAGGGATAGCTCCACGCCGATAGCCTATCCGCCGATGATGCCATGCCCTAGCGTTGTCAGCAGGTGGTGACGTCCCACTCCACCCCGGCAGGCGGCGCGGCGATCCAGCGTGCTGATCAGCGGTCGTACAGGGAGTAGGCAGCATAGTGACCACGCGTCCATCACTATGGGCGATGTGAGTTCCCTGGAATGACATGTCGCGGGGATGGGTCGTGTTGAGACATGACCGCTCACTGCACGATGTCAGAAGTTTAACCTTGGGTTGTACTATTTGGCCCGTAGTGGTTGGCGGTGGCATGAGCTTCCGTTAGGCGCCGTGCCCAAGGGATCGGGTGAGGTGGAGCCCGCCCTTAGACGTCGGCGAGGTGAAGCCAGCCCTCAGACGTTGGGCGAGGCGGAGCCAGCACTCGGGGGTCGGGCGAGGCGGAGCCCGTGGCCTCGGTGTCGGACGAGGCGGAGCCCGTCCCTAGAGGTCGGGTGAGGCGGTGTCCGCGGCCTCGGTGTCGGACAACCTTAGGGTTGGGCAAGGTGGAGCCCGCCCTTAGAGGTCGGGCGAGGCAGGAGCCCACGGCCTCGGTGTCTATTGGAGCTATAGTCGCACATTTGACTGCCTGGATGGATTAACGTATAACAACTGTTAGACCCTCCTCTTCGAGTACCGTAATATTAGTCCCCGACACCAGGGGCGCCACCTCCGCTCCCGCGTTCGATCACCGGCAAAGAGCCCAACGAAGACATGGGCGTAGTCGTCACCACCGATCGAGCACTACCGTCGTGCGGACGTGCGTCAGCGCCCCAACCGCGTGTACGCGCAGCAGAGCGCTGCCGCGGCGCCGTCGTTGGAGGCGAAGTCGTATGACGAACGGACAGGCCAGGATATGCACGGCCACGAGGTCGCAGTGCATGAGCATGCACCCCCTGGGTTTGGCGGCCGCGACAGGGACAAGGAACTGGATTTGTTGGAGAGCCGGAGAGGTGCCATACACAGCAGCAGCAGATAGGCCAAAAACGCCAGCCTCCCGTGCCCTATCGCATATCGCCGCCCCCCTCGTGGACGCGTGCATGCACCGGGCGCCGTCGTCCTCGTCTGGCCGAGCGACGCGCAGGCAGCTTCTACGACCTAGCCGTGCGCTCACAGCGGCTCCACGCCCGCCGGCATCGGTGGGACCGGATCTGGGGCGGGGGCCGCCGGATCTGGCCGAGGCAGCCTCCCGGCCGTGCACCTCCGCGGTGCCCGGCGCCGGCCGGGCTCCAGCCGTCGGAGATGCTGCCAGCGCACGTGCCGCCAGCCACTGGCGCGCCCGCCGATAGCCTTGCCAGCTCGCCCGCCGGCCGCTACTCTTGATCTCCCGCCCCTCGCCGGATCCGTGGTGGGGGTTGCCGGATCCGAGGCCGGAGGGCTCAGATCCGGCGTTCCTAGCTCCCGCCGGCCATCTTTGTTGGCAGAAAAGTCTGAGCTCTAATGGGGAGGAGAGAGAGGAGAGGGAGGGGGAGGCTGCTGTGGAATGCCTTTTTGAGCACCGCAGCGGGCCGCTGCCACCGCTAGCCGGAGAGCGGCGGCGGCGGCCAGGGGAGCCATCGTGGCCGGTGGCTTCGACGGCAGTGGCTAGTTTCACCCCCTGAGTCGCCCCTGGGAGAGACGACCGCTTGGGCCTCCCGCGTCAGCAATGGTATGGTCAGTTTCTTCTTTCTTATGCTCTTGGGGCCTTTTTTCGAGAGATTTTCTTGGGGCCTGTTATCTGTATTAGAGTCAGCACCAGCAGAAAAATGCTAGCTCACCCATTTCCAATTCGCTAGCTCCCGGCTAAAGATGGCAACGGGGCCCCGATACCCGATACCCACGGGTATTTGATCAATTAGGGGGACGGGGACGGGATCATATCTTTAACCGTGGGTATCTAAATGGCCAAGAATCCATCCCCGACGGGTATAGCGGGTACGGGAATGTTCCCTGTTTACCCGTCCCCTACCCGTTGGGGAACCCGACTATTTGAGTTGTCATGCGAGTATTAGGCCCAAAGAAACTCAACATAGGTATTTTGGCCCAAATCTGAACAATCATATATATAGTTTGTGTGTTCTAGGAACCCTAGTTCAATTTTTCATCACCATCTCCGCCAACAGCACAAGCACGCCTGCCTCATGAGCGCTCGTGCCCCTCGCTTCCTTAGTTCGGTCTCTCTGCCACCTTTGCTCGTCCTCCTCGCAACCTCACTCCTTCTCCTCGGCATCTCCGAGACTCCGACACTTATACCCGGGTGAAGAAGAAACGTCTCCGATTGCAAAGCTGCGACCCTAAGTGTCATTGTTTATCGGTATGCAGTACCCGTCGGGTATCTGTTACCTGACCGATGCCCGACGGGTACGGGGATGGACAAAAATCTATACCCAAGACAGTTAACGGGGACACGGACGGGATGAATTTTTCATAATGGAGAAGAGAACGTTCCGACGATAGCCGACGGGTACATCCCGTTGCCATGCATGCTCCCGGCTGCCTGATGCCTTGATTGGTGGCCCTGGCCGATCGCTAGCTGTCTCTCTCTACAGGGCGCAGGCTGTGGCCAGCAACAACAAAAGACCAGAACGCGTATCGAATATCCCCAGTCGCCCGCATCGAGCGGCCGCGCCGGCGGCCATGCGTTTTGCTGTCAGAAAACAGCTGACCAATCACCAATGGCAACTAACCCACGAGCTGAATTAACTAGCTTATCGTCGGGGGTACTACAGGCGCACAGCATACCCCATCTGGCCACGGATGTAAAGGACGGACGCGCGCGGCAGATGCTGCAAGCAACCGCAAGAATATTCGCACGATGAAAGCGCCTTGCGAACCAAGCGACGCTGAGCCGATCGGAATCGGAATAATCCCTCACTCTTCCCTGTGATATTGTATTTTATTTATTTGATATCTTTTCTTTTTTTTCTCGTTCGTTCACTCATGTGCCCGTTGATGCGGTCTAACGCCAGAAAATTGTTCAAAGCCAGCTGTCAACGTGCGTGCTTCTGATTTCTGAATGCGTCGGTTTATATATATTATACTGACTGATGAGCGCCGGATAACTGGATAAGCATGGACGGACAGAGAGAGAGTTGTTAACCATTGTTGACTCCAACTTCTGCAAGAAGGCATGCACGAGACAAGGACGTGCAACTTATCGGAGATCTACGGGTATCCGACTCGACGTGAAAGGCACAGCAAACATGCAACAAACCAGGCTACGACAAGCGGTTCGGCCTCAACGAAGAAGCGCACGGAACGGAGTACTCGTTCAGAAAACATGCATGTTGATCAAAGAGATTAGCAGTACTGATGTAGCTGGATCATGGCCCTTGATCTGCTGTAGTAGGGAGTTCTGAACTTCTGATCTCTGCTGCAAACCTCATTGTTGTATGTTGAGATCCGCTGAACCAAATGAAATGAAGCTCAGGACCTGATTGGTTGACTTCCAATTCTTGCCTAACCAAAACTATGGTATGCCAAAAATTTTAGTCATCAATTAGTTCATTGCCAAAGAATTGGTACACCGATCTTCGAGGAGCTGAAACCGACTTAAAAAAAAATCATTCAACAACACTGCAACCATTCACAATTCAATCCATAACAACATGCTACTCGTAATTACTACTTGATTGAAAGACAACACGCAGGCAACGAATATGTATATAGAAATAATATGTGATTCTCAGGGCGAAAATTTTGGGATCTGCCCGGAAATTAAAAGTCAGGAAGCCTCAAGAAAACTGCTATTAGCTCTCCATGTATGTACACATGACACAGCAACCCAACTCATGATCAGTTCATCTCTTGGGCGCACGCACACGGACCACCCAATCTCCCTGTATGCATGGCCTGGCTGCACTACAACCTCTCACAGACTGATGAATCTGTTCTGTTCTATTATTGCCACCGATGTGCAAGCAAAGCCGCGACGCTATCTCTACACTCTCATCCGACGATCTTCCGCAAATTAAACGCAGCCTTACACGCATTTCCGGCTGTAGCCTTCGGACTTGTTGTCTTCGTCTGCTGCTGCTGCTGTCGCCGCCGCCGACGGTGGCCGTAGAGATGGCCACGCCTGATCCGGAGAACTGAAGCGGACCCTGGGGAGACCCGGAGCTGCTTTGCTCCTGAGGAGCCCAGAGGCCACCCACAAGCATGATCGGCTGGCTCACCGGAGCCGCACCGGGGGATCTTCTGTTGTGCAGCCGGTACTTCTGAATACGAACATGACACGATCGAATCAGTTTCCAAACAAGATAATATATCGCCAGAAATAGGCACTACTAAGAAGAAATAATGCCTGGACAAAGCGGATCATTGCTCACCTGGAGATGGCTTTTCACTTCATCATTTGTAAGCCCGTCCACCTGCATCACCTCCCTGATCTGCTTCGGAGTAGCAACTGCAATTACGATGAAATTTGTTAACACTTTCCCTAGCAGCTAGCAGAGAACCTTTTCTTTTCACAAATGATAAAAGACGATCGGTCTTGTATATATGTACCTTGAGGGCCGCCGAGTTGATGCAAAGCGGCGACGAACTGCTGGTGAAGCTCCGGCGACCAGCACCGCCTCGCCTTCCTGCTGGCCTGCTGCTGAGCCTGAGAGTGCAAGTTGACCCCAGAGCCAGGCGGTGGCATGGTGGCACAGAATCTGCCGCTGGCGTTGTCGCTGGCAGCCACGGGAGAAATAGGCGCCTTAGATGCCGGCGATACCAACGACAGACCAGTGCCGGCAGAGCTGTCTTCTCTCCTGAAGAACGGCGGCGGCAGGGGTGGCCCCGCCGCAACGGCCCTTATCGGCATGGGCGCGCCACCGAGCAACTTGGGCTCCGGCGAGGTGATTTCACTCCGTTGCTCTTTGTCAGACTGTAAGCACAAATAACAAGTCTTATTCAGTAAGTCTGAAAAAAATATTGATCGTGAGGACAGTAAAGCTCGAAATCATCACGGATAAATAAAAACTAAAACTACGACAGAAATCTGATGAAAATAACAAGCATGGCGTAGCAGAGTTGCATGCTCTACCTCGTCCGATTTGGCGTCGCTGTCCACCCACAACTGAGCGGTGCTCATCCATTTCCGCTTGTCGCCGTCGTCCGCCTTCGCCTCCGCGTCTCCGCCTCTCTTGGCGGCCTCCTGCTTCAACTCGTCGATCACTGCAGGCCAGGGCGCACGAACCACCGCGTCAGCGAACCGGGGCGGAGAGAAGAAACAGACCAAGAGACCACGACGCGTAAACTGTACACAGAGAGGAGGAGAGCGAGAGAGGCCTCTAGTTCTCACCGTCGGCGAGGAGGCGCGCGCAGAGCGGGAGCTCGCGCCTGAAAACCTCGATCTTCTTGCGCTCCTCCTCGAGGCTCCTGATACAGGACTCGATCCCTGCCGCCGGCGCCCCCTTGGCCGCGGCCGCCGCCATCCCGCCGGCGCTCCGCGCGGCGAACAGCCTGAGGTCCAGCCCCAGATCCAGGCCCATCCCGATCTCGCCGACGTCCAGCCCCATGCAGCACGCGAACGAGACGAGAAACAACTGACGAGGGCGAGCACCACCACGAGGAATCTTTCTGCGCAGAAGAATCGGCGACCGGAAGCCGAGACGAAGAAACAACAAGAGAGCAAAAGAGGCGGAGGCGGTGGGTGACTGCGTGCGAGGGGATCTGGATTCCGGAGGTGCGCCCGCCCTGGCATATATAGACGGGCGGCGGCGAATGGAATCTGCGAGCTGGACCGCAGGATGGGCGAGAGAGAGAGACACCGCGCCCCACAACCAGCAACCACGCGGCGCGTGGGGTGGGTGGGCGCGGGCGCGCTGCGTTGCCGATTCCTCACGTCGCGTCCAGCGCGAGAAGCTCGCGGCCGGACGTCTCTCACAACACTCCTCGGTGAATCAGGGATCCCTCGATCGGTGCGGCGCGGCCTCGAGTTACCGCTTCTCACGCGCGCTCCCGACACGGCCCCCGCGCTTCCCCGATTTCGCACCCTAGCCCGTCTGCGTGTGCGTGTTTTTGCGCCTACACCCCTCGCGTCCCTCCGAGGATTACGGCGGGGTCCCTTCCGTTTTTGCTTTAGCTTACGTTCCGTGCAAGTAACATGCGTGTTGAAGCGTATCGGGGCGCCTTGACAGCTTGCGTGCGTGCCCTGGTGAGATCCTGTCTGGCTGGCCTGGATGACGATGCCTTTTTTTAGACGTGAATCGTCCGTGATGATTCTTCTCGTCTCCTTGTCCCCCCCCGGTCTCACGGTCACGGCACGGGCGGGCCAAGGAGGCCCATCGGTTTCGGGCGCCGCCGTGGCGGATTGGAGTTTCGGAACGTCTGGAGGGCGTGGGGCGAGATGGATGGGATCCCTTTGGTTTTGTTGTTGGCAGCACGAGCAACGCTACAAAGTACGGTGGTCCTGCCGTTTGTTTTCTCTGGTTGTCCTCGCGCACGATGGAAGTCCAAGTCGGCGATACACAAGGCCGTACGTTCAGGATGGTTCCTTCCATGGCTCTATGTGGAGATCTTTTCCCCTGGGAATCTGGGAAAAAGGTTAAACTTCAGTTGTTTAATTTGGCAAGACTCGAGTAGCAAAGTGGCGTGTCATTTTTTTTTCAAGAAACACGGTGCATATCTCACTCTAGCTAGGGCCTAGGGGGAAAAGTATCATTAAGCGTTTAATATATTTTTATAATAAATTTATTTGAAGATACAAATGCTGCTAATATTTTCTACAAACGTTAAATTTAAGAAATCGTAAATTTATGGGACTAGGAGAGGAATGATGTGTTTTCGCCATTCGGCCAGTTAAAGAGGTGCTTGCGCTATTAGAGAAGCGTTATCACCGAGGTAATCGTGTCGCCGTACCAACAAGAATAATCCACGATACGACAACAAATGAGAACTAATATGGAGGCCCATAGTCTACTTTCAAAAAATTATTTAATAGATTTTTTATAGATATATATAGCTCCTTGAGATCATCTAAAGTTGGTGCACCAATGGCTAAGGCACAACACTCTGCTAGTGTCATAGTCGTCGGACCGCCAACCGCCAACGCTGCCCTCATCTCAAATCAAAGTTATCTCCACACTCGTCAAATATCGGGAATTCCCATTGCTAAAACTACTTCATCAATGTACACTTATTTTTGCAAACATAAAGGACTAGTACGCAAGAGTGCCACATCTCATGCATTTGGCCCGTCTAGATCCTTGATTAAAATCCATTTCAATAATCATAATTAAGGCACAAATCAATTAAGTTAACATGACAATCTGCATAATCTATTTATATATTTTTGTTGGCAGCATGAGGAAGATATTTATATACCGCACTGCTGCTACACGCGAGCGAGTCAAAGAGCATGGTATAGGTTGTATAGAGCATGAAGATAGATGGAATCAATTTATATATCTCACCTCATAAATTTAAGACATGCTTATATCTAAATTTTGGAAAGCTATGGAATGCCAAAATTCAAGCCAAATAGTATAGTGCATAAAGTGGATTCTAATTTCTTTAGAATAAAAAGATCTAAACAGGCCCAGTTAAAACACATATCTAAGAAAAAAGATCATCAAGGATGATGTCTACAGGACCAACTTACCTCTCTCATTGTCACTTCCCGATAAATCAAACATTTTTAATTTTGCCCAATATATATATAAGAAAATATTAATATGTATGATACATAATTAGTATCACTAGATAGATCGTTCAATATATTTTTATAATAAACTTATTTGAAGATACAAATGCTGCTAATATTTTCTACAAACATAGTTAAATTTAAGAAAGTTTGACCTGTACAAATCCTATAGCATAGTGTCATCTTTTATGGGACGGAGGGAGCACGCATGATGTCTTTCCTTAGACGTGACTTGCCGCCATTCGGCCGAGGATAAGAAGTTATTGAGGAGGTGCTTGTGCTTGGCTAGAGAAACGTTATCCCCAAAGGTAATTGGGATCGAAATTGAACGAGCAACATCTGCATCTGCTCGATCACGGATTGGCTTACAAGCCAAGCGTCGCACTTTTTTTAATTTAACAAATAGTATTTTTTCTCACAACAAATCAAATCAAAAGCCCATGTATATATATTTTATATATAGTATACTACTACTATGGGAGAGGGCCACCAAAATTAGAACAAGGCAAATAAGGGTCAACTAATGACAAATAAGGATCAACTAACAGCTATAAAAAAAAGAGTCAATTATTATAGACAAATAACAAAAATACTTCTAGGTGCGAGAGTGTGTCTAAAACTTTAAATAGGTTGTTTTTTAGGGAGGAACATGTCGTCTACTCAGGTTTAAATTCTAGATTTATCACGGATACTTGTATTTTGTTCAATTTCGAGTATAAGCATATCGGTGATCTTATCAGTCTCAGAGATTTTTTTTTTTCTGTAGATGAAACTTGCACTATGTGAGTATTACTCCCTGCTAAGTCCCTTGTATGTTATAAACGATGTAAACCAATTATCGATAGCAGCAGCAGTACACGGTAAAAATTAACGCCCCGCCCAGCAGAAATGGTCCACGTACCCATGCCATGACCGGCAGACGTGCGCAACCGGCCAACCGACGCGACACGGCACGGCCGCCGTGATTTCCCTTTCTCGTCAATGAGAGGGTCGCGCCTCGCGAGTGGACGCATCTGGAGTGGATATGGATTGGGCAGGGAGATACGAGTACTCCTCTGGCCGTCTGGGCAGCGGAACAACGGGGACCGTGGCCCGGCCCGCGCCCACGGTCGGGGCGCTCGGACGTGCGCGGTGACGCGGCTCACACTCACACGCGCGCGGGATCGGCCCGCCGCATCTGATAGATAGCGTACGGTCTCCGCCCGCCCGCCGAGTCGCCGCGCGACACGTTACGTACGCACACCGCCGCAGCCGCACCTTATCTCTCTCCGCCCGTTTCTTCTTTGGATTTGGAAAAATTGTATCCCTCCGTTTCGGTCTCACTCGCATGCGGCGAGAAGACGGAATCTACACTGATGATGCCTGATGGTTCACGTACGGTTGGCTCGTTTCTGCGTCGATCTTTTTGGGAGAGGGATGGGCTAATTTGCGCCCTGTGTTTAATGGATGCCTTGCTTTTCCACTGCCACGTATCTTCCACCTCAGGACAGGACGGACGGAACTCTTTCACTAGGACTCTTAAGAGTACTCCCTAGCTAGCTAAACTCTTTTTTGGTCCACTGGGCTTCACTGTTTGAGACAGGGAATCTCAACCCAACCCGGCCATTACTTCAGGGACGTATATATTCCACTGAACGCAAAGACGAACCTCCTCCGTTAGAAATCCTGAAGAATATTCAGAGGAGAACGACAACATTTCTATAGCTACGTGGAATTACGAGCTAGGCAATCGGGGTGTGTTTGCTTCACGGTCTCTCGGGCGAGCTCCCGGCCAGGCAGTGATCCTGCCCAGGCGCCCGAAATCAGATGCCTAGGAGCCATGCTCGCGCTGGGCAACTTTGTCGGGTGCAAAAAAAAAAAAAAAAAAAAAAAAAAACCCTCTTAGGCTCTACTATGACTCTACTATCGTTTATTAGGACATGTTTGTTTGGTGATCTAGCTAACTTGTCTGGGTTAGGTGGCTACTAAAAATGGGTTTTACTGTGGTAGTCCTAAATACTAACTGTGAGTTGTTTGTTTGTTTCGATCGTAATAGATAAAATATATATATTTATTTTTTTGTTTTTATAAAATAAGATAAAGAAGTAAAGTTTTAGTATCTTTCTATATTTGACTATCCCCAGCAAATGCTTGAAGATCGATACAATTCAAATTTCGTAAAATTGACTCTTATTTATTCGATTAGTATAAAATTGTTAACTTCAACTATCAAACTATCATGTGCTGAAAGGTTAAGCACTGACGTTTCTTAGAATGAGTGAGATCAGAAAACCTGAAATCATTGGTTACTGGGTCATCTCTAAAATTTGAAGCTGAACGTTTAGCCGTGATGTACTGTTGATACCTCACAGACTCACTGTGCCATACATCTCTGCCGGGTCAAATCGAGCCGGTTCCTCTGGGACCATACAAGTACGAATCTTCTACAAGAAGGCCGGCGTCTTCACCAAGGTGCTTGAAGCACTCTGCAACTACAACGTGCAGGTCACCAGCCTGAAAACGATAACATACTATGGCTACGCCGAGAGCGTCTTCACCATTGAGGTAAACTGTTTGCAAAACACTTGCCTGCACATAAATAAGTAAAGTTTTAATATAAAAATCTTTCTCCTAGGAGATTCAGCAAGATTTGTTTTTTCTTTTCCTACATTAATAAAGTATTTAATAAATTTAAAAATATAAAAAAATGAAGGGCTCATATATATTTGAGGTATTACCTCTTAGCAAGTAAAGAGAGTACCATAACATTGCTCATTAATAGACTCCTGATTGCTACCTAGGCCAGACAGGTCAGACAGCTATCACAGGATCTAATCCAAACGGACCTATGCCACTTCCTACTTGTCCCACTGTGTGGTACACCCACGACCGGAG